TTTACCATCAAGCGCTCCATGTATGCTAGTAATGTTTCTTTTTGCCTCTCAAGAGCTCACAAGGTATTTGCTACACACGATATTGCATGTTTCTTTCCTGTAAAGCGAAGTGTGAATGAAAGCTAAGAAGAATTATTGCAAGAGTAAGCACTTTCGGAGTTATTGTTTTCTACTCATTTTACGTGGTCGTACAAATGTATATACCATGAGGGCACTGAATGCAAGGTAGCTTTGATTTAACGGCGGCAATGAAAAGGGCACCTTGCATTTTAGTTTTAAGGAGACTCCTAAGCTTTGCATAATAATGGTGGAAACGTCAATCAATTGTCAGTTGCTTTTGGAAACGATCATGCAAATTAAGAAAAAACACCGAGGCTAGCGGTTAACAAAGCTTATTTACAGCTAGCAGCTATTGCGACTTGATCTGTTGAATATTCTAAGGTATTGAAAGTACACGCCAGATTACCGAGATGATGCTGGGTTTATTTTTCGTGGAGCTGACCCTTCTCCTAAGAGTAACGGTAAGCAAACAAATTTTGCTGACATTTCATCTTTACCAAATTGCCATGCAGTCTCAAATTACCTAAGTAATTCTATATTCCCCACTTTTTGATACCAGCCAGTCCATAGATAAAACAAACACGAAACAATGATATCTAAAATGCTTGTAAACCAAACGTCACTATAGCGATTTTGGCGGTTTTCAAGCTTGCCGTTTCGATTCTCAATTGCTGCCTAAGTAAACGCTTGGCTGGTTAGCCGACGTGAAAACTGGGTGCGGTTTAGCATCTCGGTAAAAGTCAGCTTTCTACTCTCTCACCTGCCTCTAGAATATGGGGGTTGATAATATTCTTAAGTATTTTTTCTCACATTTACGGGTTACATGTATGACTTAGTGTAAATCTTAAATAGTTCGAAGCCTGTCTCATCGAAAATGCGTTCGTGGGGAAAACGAAACATCTCACGCTTCATTGATAACTAACAAAATTAAAGGGAGCTTACAAATCTCTTTCTCAGATCAAAGCCGAAATCTGTAAGCCTACTTTTATCATTGTTGTTTTTACAAAATAGTACTAATTAATAAGGAATATATCTGAAATATAGATTTAACCAGCCGGATCGGTTGAAAGCGGAAAGCGCCGGCGCCAGTAAGTTTTGATTGGTCATCAACTTGGCACAGTTGAGTCGAAACATCGGACCGCTTTGAAAATAATACACATTTCCCTAGTTTAGATACCTTGCACTTGCAAGCAGCTTGTCTTATTCCCGTGTTAATGAGCCAAATTGGCTTTGAATTATGTTTTGCTTGTTATAACAAGCCTTATGAGGCTGCTTTCCGTATTTAGATGGTGTGATCGTATCGACGAATGAGGCCTATTTTTCGTGCTTTCATCAGTAAAGTTTGACCTTTAGACTGCATTAGGAATGCTTTAAAGAGAAAGACCTGCATGAAAGCAGACTTAATTCTTTAATTCAATTTTGATCTATGATAACTCTAGCCCGCAAATAAAACCAGGTCCATATCGTTTGATAAAGAAACAAAATCTGTTAAATTTAAGTTTGGTTTCCAATTAAGTGTAATCACGGCAAACTAATTTCGCAACACTGAATAATTATTCACTTCTAATAAAAGAAAAAATACATATTAATAAAACTTCTTTGCGTAATAATCTAATGATCTGTCTTACCCAAAGCAGAGAATTGGCTAGTTGCAAAACAATTCGATTTATATAATAATTAAATGAATGCGCGCGCTCTGATCGGTGAAGCAGCTATGGTTTATTGTACCAGTAAACTCATAGAAATTTCGTGTGTGTTCTGAATTGTTGTATAAAAGCAATAGACCGCAAGTTTTTATGGTTTAGAGGCATGATAAACCACTTGGGATGTTGGAAGAACACTCGAAGAATTCGTAAACTTGAATCACTCGCCTGTGGCTCGTGATTTACGAATTCTTCTCGCGTCCTTCCAACATCACGCGTGGTTTATCAGCCTAAAAACCATAAAAACTTGTGGTCTGTTTCTTAAATAACTAAATGAAACCTCTGCTCTTTTTTCAGTCCAGCTTGTGACTGCCGTGCGTAAGTGAATTATTTGCTGTTAAAAGAACATAAAACAAAAACAAAACATTTAAAGTGTAGTATATTTTGCATGCCAATCACTTTTTACTTGCTTGCTCAACATGCTTAACTTTACAAGCATATACTTCGTAAATCTTTTGACACGCGATGTTTACAATTTGATTTTTCAGCCCATCAAGGGTAACTGTTGATGATCAAGGCCAGTTTGCAGTTTTCAAATCGTCATTTTGACTATTAATTTTGGTCGTTAAGATCGAAGCGGCCATGAAACAGGATTAAAACGTGCGCTTTCAACTTAAGTTGTCTTTTTAAAGGACAGTGTGCTTTGGCATCGATTTTGATTTTAAAAGGTCGAAGAAATCCAATTGAGTCCGTACTTAATTCAGTAAATAGTTTACTGTATAAGCAATTTAGCCTGTGCCAGT